GTGTGATAACTGCATTTTTGTTTTTCTTAAAGAGCACTTATCGTTTGAAGACAGATACTGGAATATGAAATGATATTACATGTAATAGTTTCTTTAAAGTAATCCAGGAAGAAAAAAATGAATAGGAGTACAAATGAAACAAAACATATCACAGATTGTTAACTGTTGGTGCTCCATGACACTTTTGTATGTTCTACTTTTTGTGTATGTTTGAAACTCCAAAATAAAAGATTTCAAAAGTCTCTCATAAAAAAAAGAGAGAGAGAGAGAGAGACCAGCAATCTAAGCCTATGCTTACAACAGGATCAGAATCTGAATTTATCTATGCATTTTAGGAATCTCAAGCAAAGATGAGCAATAACTGCCACAGATGGCAGTAAACCCTACCCCCCGCTACCAAACTGAAAAATAAAACTCACTCTGTGGGGAGATTTCTACCTTCAGGGAACAACAGACTGAGAGAGGGAAGCCACCACTGCTAATAAGCTTCCCATCAAGATCTGTGATAACCAGGGGCAGGCTTTGGGTTTAGTGGTTAGGATGCTGGCGAAAAACCCACGAGTACTGGAGCTCAGTACCTGGCGCTGGCTCCCAACTTGTTTGCTGCTAATGCAGACCGTGGGGAGCGGGCGTGATGCTTCAAGCCACTGAGTTCCTGCTGTCCACACAGGAGATCCAGGCTGACTTCTCAGCTCTGGCACCGGGGTCAACTAACCCAGTCACGGCTGTGGCAGGCATCTAGGGCAGTAAACCACAAAGATGGATGCTTTCTCTGTTTCTCCGATAATCTTTTAAAACTTACAAACAGGGAAGATGGGTAGATACAGAGCAAGCGCAAACAAGAGAATCCCAAGGATGGAAAGTGATTATGATATAAATGATACAAACCTACCAAAAATCCTGTTGAAATTTTATCGACATTGTAGTGAATAGGGGAGGCGGAGTTTTTAAGGGGTAACTAGTTTTAAAACTAGTTCTTTCTAAACCACCCAGGGTCAGCTATTCTGTGAGAGCACCAGAAAACAAATTTGATTAAGTATCTTCCAATGGTCGACGTTAAGAAACAAGAAGGAATGCATGAACAAGGATGATTTCTGTAGGAGGGCAGGAAACAATGAACTTGAAAACAGCACCAGGCAGCAAAGAGAACGCTGAGACAACCTTTTAGGACTGCCAGGTTTATGGACTGTGAGAGCGTGAGCAACGGCCAAAGACACTGCACTGTTCGAGGATGTGGGTGTCACCAAGGGAAGATGGTGAGCTTGAGGTCACGGAGGAACTTACTGACAGTGGCGGAGTGGACACGGAGAAGGGTTAGGAGACAGCCACAACACACATGGGGATGGCCGATTACAGCCAAGACACTGGCTTCATGAACACGCTCAGTCTAGCAACAGTAACAGACTGAAGATATTTAAAATTTGAAAGGATTTCTGGGTACCTCCTGACTCCAGGATCTAACCAGTGGAACCCGAAGGTGAATGACGCTGCCATCACTTGTATTCTCTCAAGCTCTGTGTTCTGAGCAACCTGGAAACTTGTCCATACAGCTAGGATTGGAAAGAAGCCCTGACATTAATTTTCGCACAAAAGGCCTTGGAGAACAGAATGTCAGGGAAACTTTCCTTACTGATTCCGTCATACTTCTCCCCATTTAGTTGACTGAGAGACACAGACTGGTAACCTCCCCACACGCCTGCAGTGGCTTGGGCATGGACCGGGGCGGGGAGCACACTCCGCCCCATGCTTCCGTGTGGTAGGAACCCAACTACTTGAGGCATCACTGCGGCTGGCAGGAAACTGGAGCCGCGAATCAAACACAAGCACTCCAATATGGAAAGGAATGAGTGCCTAGGCTGAGTGCCTATTCCTCGTTCAAATCATACCAACTAGGCCTCTTCAGTAATGGGGATGATAGTCTCCTCATGGCACAGAATTTATGTGTGAAAATCTGGGTGCAGAAACATGGATCTTACAAAAGCATGGTGCCCATCTCACCACGGTAGCATGATAAAAAGTAGGCATAGATCTCCCTCTATAAGGACAAATTAAACCCTTTAAAAATATGCAGTGAGGGCCCAGCACAATGGCCTAGCGGCTAAAGTCCTCGCCTTGAATGTGCTGGGATCGCATATGGGTGCCAGTTCTAATCCCGGCAGCTCCACTTCCCATCCAGCCCCCTGCTTGTGGCCCGGGAAGGCAGTCGAGGACAGCCCAAAGCCTTGGGACTCTACATGCACGTGAGATTCCTAGAAGAAGCTCCTGGCTCCTGGCTTCGGATTGGCTCAGCACCGGCCGTTTGCGGTCAATAGGGGAGTGAATCATTGAAATGGAAGATCTTCTCTGTATATCTGACTTTGCAATAAAAATAAATCTTAAAAAAAGGTTAAAAGATATGCAGTGAGGCTAGTGATTTTTGTTGAATCTGTAAGTATTAGTGATCATAAAGTCTACAAACGTCTTGAGCGTGATAGAATCATCTAGTTCACTGCTGTCCAAAGGAAGGGCTGCAGGCAGCAGTGCCACTCCATGAGCTGTGCGGGATCCACGATGAGGGCAGCTAAGACACTGAAAATAAACATTTAGAAACTTTTTCTGGAAGTTCTGCCATTGTCATAGCATCCGATTACATGATCCATGGATTTGTCATGCTGAAGGGAGTACTAGCTGATCCAGCTGTTGTCAAACACGTTGTATGTATGTGTGTGCCATAACATGTCCACCAGCCAGGCAGAGCACCATCAAGTTATACATGCTTAGCAAAGGTTGCTTTGTCATCTACATGCAAGTAAGTAAAATTCTGAGGAAATATATGGGCTTATTCTTTTGTATAACCAGTTAGTGTTAACAAGCATTTTTCATCTTAAGTCTTTTCTTGATCTATAATTTAACAGATTAAATTAGTGAAATCATGGGACCAATGCAGTGGCATAAGTGACATCCCATATCGGCAGCAGCTCTATCTAATCCTGGCTGTTTCACTTCCCATCCAGCTCCCTGTTTATGGCTTGGGAAAGCAGCAGAGGATGGCCCAAAGCCTTGGGTCCCTGCACACCTGCATGGGAGATCTGGAAGAGGCTCTTGGCTTCTGGCTTCAGATCAGCTTAGCTTTGGCCATTGCAGCCAGCTGGGGAGTGAATTAGTGGATGGAAGATCTTTCTCTGCTTCTCTCTGTATATCTGCCTTTCCAATTAAAAAAAAAAACAACAAATCTTTAAAAAAAGGAAACAGATGAAATACAAAAGCAGTTAGATCACCTCGATTCTGGAGAATGACGCCTCCTGCATTGGGTTCAGTGTTACAGTCATAACTCACAGCACAGCGCTAACATCTCAGTGTGCTAACTGCAGAGGTGAGCGACAAAGCCATCAAAATTTAAGGGTCTATGCGCACTCACAGACCAAATGCGCAGAAGTAACCACAAAATGAACTACACTGATCTAACTCTAGGATTTTGTATAGAACAATATTCTGACACACCTGCAGACAAGAAAACTTTCTGTAGCAATTCTCCAGATTAAGGAGCTTGTACCAGGCGCCAGCACAGTAGTAGATGGGCTAATCCTTTGCCTGTGGCACCAGCATCTAATATGGCACCAATTTGTGCCCCAGCAGTTCCACTTCTCCCCCAGATCCCTGTGACAGCCTGGGAAATCAGCGAGGGATGACTCAAGTCCTTGGGACCCTGCGCCCACACAGGAAACCGGGAAGAAGCTCCTGGCTACTGGCTTTGGATCAGTTCAGTTCTGGCCCTTGTGACCATTTTGGGATCATCATCCATCATTCAGTGGATGATTCATCCTCTGTCTCTCTCTTTTCTCCATAAATCTGTCTTTCAAATAAAAATACATTTTTTTTTTTTTAAAAAGAAGCTTGAACCAAAAATCACTTCCTCTTTTAAAAAAGAAGGTTTAGGGTCCAGCACAGTAACCTAGAGGCTAACGTCCTCGCCTTGCATGCACCAGGATCCCATATGGGCGCCGGTTCTAATCCTGGTGGCCCAGTTTCCCATCCAGCTCCCTGCTTGTGGCCTGGGTCCTGGCTCCTGATCAGCTCAGCTCTGGCCCTTGTGGCCACTTGGGATGCTGGCAAAACAGGGTGGAGGATTGGCCTGTGGAGCTATGGTGCCAGCCTCAATCACGCTCTTGTTTGTATTAACAAGATCTTAGTACAAAAAAAGTCTGTTGAACTACACAGATCGTTTACTGTCATAATAAAAATGCAAACACTGAAACGGTTATTATTATATGCCAGCAAGAAAGTGTGTATAGCCTCGTTAATGAAATAATTAGGGGTTGATACCATGGTGTTGCCTGTGATTAATCCGCAGGGATGCTGGTTCAAGTCCTGCCTGCTCCATTTTCCATCCAGCTCCCTGCTAAAGGTTTGAGAAAGTGGCAGAAAACACTCATGCCCTGGCATCCACATGAGACATGCAAGGTGCCGGCTGCTGGCTGCGGCCTGTCTCAGCCTGGGCCACTGTGACCATCTGGGAAGTGAACCAGCGTATGGAAAGCTTTTCTCTCTCTCTCTGTAACTCTTTGTTTCAAATAAATAAATACTTTAAAAAATGAATTAATGCTCAAGGAAACTATCAAAAAATGGGCAGTGCGGAGAAATTTGAATTAGAAAACGAACTCAGTAATTTTGTGAGACTGAAAAAAAGTTTGAATCCAACTTTTAAAAGCTCTGGACAGCCAATAGTACAGTAACTTTAGTACTTTCTTAACAGCTTAATATTTCCTTACATGGCTACAGATTGTTACAAGTGTTATACGTGTGGCAACATTTTACAATTTCATTTTCCAACTAAATGGAGCCACACACAGGAAATGTGGGAGAAACACACCCATTTCTTTCATCTAAAATCATTTCAACTACTCACAGGGTAAGCTGTTGGAACTGGCTGCTGTGAAATACAAGGAGCACAGTTGTTTTACATAGGATAAACTTGAGAGGACTGAGCTTGATTAAACTGTTTTGTTTTTCTTTTTAATTTTCAGGGGAGAGTGCAAACACAGTCCCCCAGGGCCACAAATGATGCAGTCCAGTTTTGCGCATTTGGGGAACCGCAGGGGTCAGCACACGGTAGTGCAATAGGTGAGCCTTGCCCTGGGCTCACCACCTTCATGATCATGGTCTCTCTGCTGCCAGATTAAATTTTTTTTTTTTAAAGATTTATTTATTTATTGGAAAGTCAGATATACAGAGAGGAGGAGAGACAGAGAGGAAGATCTTCCGTCCGATGATTCACTCCCCAAGTGAGCGCAATGGCCGATGCTATGCTGATCCTCCGAAGCCAGGATCCAGGAACCTGCTCCGGGTCTCCCACTTGGGTGCAGGGTCCCAAAGCCTTGGGCCATCCTCAACTGCTTTCCCAGGCCACAAGCAGGGAGCTGGATGGGAAGTGGATCTGCGGGGATTAGAACCGATGCCCATATGGGATCCTGGCATGTTCAAGGTGAGGACTTTAGCCGCTAGGCCACGCCGCCTGGCCCCAAATTAAATTGTTTTTAAGCTCTTTTATTCCTTTACCAACAGAGTAATTCAATAACAATGGCTTCTCTACTTGTATTATTAAATAAAAATTCAACAAAATTTAGCTATACCACTGTCACTTGAGAGAGGTGCTGTATCCAATACAATCTTGATAAATTCACAGGAGGCTCGTTTGTCAAGTTAAAAACTTAAACTAGTAAGGCGGTGGGCATTTGGTGCAGCAGGTAAGTCACTGCTTGGAACGCCACGTTGCGGCACTATTGCTTCCTCTCCCTGCGCATCAGCACCCTGGGAGGCAGCAGACTCAGCACCGAGCCCCTGCACCCACACGGGAGACCCGGCAGCAGACTCAGCACCGAGCCCCTGCACCCACACGGGGGAGACCTGGCAGCAGACTCAGCACCGAGCCCCTGCACCTACACGAGGGAGACCCGGATGGAGTTCCTGGCTCCATGTCGGCCTGGCCCAGCTTCGGCCGTGACAGGCACTGGGGGAGTTACAACTGAAAAATAATTATGCATATGGCTATATATGTCCAGTTTTCTAATGACTTTGTTAACTTTATTCCTAAAACGAAGCTTTGACAGATAAGTCACCCGAGGTTCTTTCCAATGACCACTGTTTTTATCTTTAATAACACAGCTTACAGACCAAGCAGTTCTCAATGGATTGGAAAACTAAAAACCTATGCCTCCAGCGGTGTGAGAAATACGGGGCTAGTCTGAAGTAGCTACTTTGTGTTGAGTTTGTGCCAACTGATTAAATCCTGAATGCATCTCTACTAGGATTCAGCTAACGTGTTAAGCAAATTTGAAGAGTTGAAGCAAATGTCCTGTCGGTATCTTCACATGCAGGCCCGCTTGCTTGTTTTCACTGTAAATAATAAAAGCCAGACTTTACCACATTTTCACATTTACTCTAATGCTCTGTTCATCTATACTGTTGCCACAGGGGAAAAAATCATGAAGGAAGATTCTCTAAAAATTAACTTCGGTTAGCAAGCCAAACAAACCTGTCCACGGAGATACCAAAATCTCAAACTCCTTGAGGATCAAGTGAATTTGAACTTAAAAAATAATTAGGGCCCGGTGCCATAACCTAGCATCTAAAACCTTCACCTTGCATGCACTGGGATCCCATATGGGTGCTGGTTATAATCCTGGTGGCCCTGCTTCCCATCTAGCTCCCTGCTTGTGGCCTGGGAAAGCAGTCGAGGATGATCCAAAGCCTTGGGACCCTGCACCTGTGTGGGGAACCCGGGAAAGGCTCCAGGCTCCTGGGTTCAATTTGGTGTAGCTCCCGCCCTTGCGGCCACTTGGGGAGCGAATCACCAGATGGAAGATCTTCCTCTCTGTCTCTCCCCCGCTTGGTATATCTGACTTTCCAATATAAATAAAACTTCAAAAACAAACACCAGTTCAGAGATCTTTTAGACCAGGCTTGCTAACAGCAATGAAAGTATCAGACCTCCTAAGCTGTAGGTAATTGCCTAGGTTGTCTTGTACCCAGGTAAGTGTTAAAATGGTGGGTGGAAAACAGCCAATAACTTGCCATCTGGGCCTGCTTGATGCCAACTCTGTGATAACCATACCAGTTTGCCAGCATAGCTCTCTTTTTTTTTTTTTTTTTAAGGTTTGTGGGGCAGGGAAGCAGTCTGCCACATCACCAAGGGCACACACTGGCCGGGACCACCCCACCACCACCATACATGTGCTGGCTGCGCGGGGAGGTGGCGTGCATTGCCAGGGGCCAGGCGACTTGAGATTGGGCAGAATAGGCACCACTGAGGGCTTGTGTGAATATTTGAAATGATTTCTGGGGTTCCAAGGATGGAGGCACTTCCTCTTGAGAAGCCGAGACATGGTGGATCAAGGGGGGATCCAGAGGGATCCCTGGTTAGGCCAAAGCACCCTCCTGCGTGTATAAGAGCCGGGGCTGGAGCCTCCTGAGGCCAGATGAGGTTCCAGCATCCGCTGGCACACATAACAGATGTTATTTGAGGGTGGCTCAGGTTCCTTAGGGTCACCTTGACTAGGCCGGGCTAGGCTGTAGCACCCACCAATACACAAGAAAGCTGGGGCTGCGGATGGACTAGGCCTAGTTAGATTGCAGCACCTGCCAGCGAGAGCTGGGGATTCTAGGGGACATCGCTGTTGGGCTGCAACACCCACCTGTGCACAGGAGAGCTGGGGCTGGAGGTGGGCTGGGCTTGCCTAGGCAGCAGCATCCACCAGCATGCGCAGCAACCAGGGCTGCGGGAACGCACAGTAGGGGCTCACAGAAGACATTCTATGCTGCAGCTCCCACTGGTGCATGCAAGCACCGGGGAAGGGAAGCAGGTTGGGTCAGGCAAAGCCTTAACACCCACTGGTGTGTGCAAAAACTTGGGACTGGGAGACGGCCAGGTGAGGTTCTTCAGGGTCTACCCAACTAGGCTGCAGGACTTGCTGGTGTGAGATCCAGGCCTAGGGATGGAACTAAGCAGTCAGAATAACCCAGCTGGCATTCGTAAGAGTAAAGTTTTAACACTTCCGAGGTGAGGTTTCTTGACGCTTCCCCAACTGGACTGCTGCACTCGATCCCTGACCTCAGGGAAGATCACGTAACGTGTGGTCCAATCTCAGAGGAGCACGTGTTTGCCCACCTCAGTTGCTGACCCTCATACAAGACATGAGAGCATATACCCAGATGAACATGAACCCCAAGACAGGTAGCTCACCGAAGTCAACAGAAGACCTTTGAATACCTTATCAAAATATGCACAAGATGGCGAGAGGCACAGGTTGAACAACACTGCAGGCCGGAATCTACAGCAAGCATCAGGGCGTATGGGCATACAGACAGAGGGACAGTCAACAGGCCTTAGGAAGAATTTCTCATCTCTGGTCAGAACAATCAAGACCATTCAAGTAACACCCTTTCCATATTGGGGCTCAAAGCTGACGTCATCCATCTTTGCCCTCGATGCTGATGCAGTGTGACAGCAAGGAGCAGCACACTCTCCTCCCCCACCCTCTGCAGACACAGGAAGGAAAACCGACTCTCTTATCTCATGCTCCTTCCCTGTACTCCAACCCTCCCCACCCTAATCAGAGGCCCACATGGGTCTCTAACTGCCTTGTCTTTGTAAAAACTTTAAAACAATAAATAAGGGGAAAAATATTGGACCAATCCACTATGATTAAGACAAAACAGCAGCATTCACAGTGGAGTCACTCAGTAGGGTAGACACTGCATACTGGGAAGCTTGCTGCAAGTCGTTCCAGAACGAGAAAACAAGTCTAAACCACTCCTTTTAGCCACTTCTAGGAAAGAGGATACAGACATTACCTGAAATACGCTACCATGGATGGTCCAGGTATGAGGAAAGAAATGGAGAATGCTTCTTCTTATGTAAGGTTTTAGAGAACTATTTGGCATTAAATATGAAAGTAACGAGGCTTCTTGCAGCCCTATGCCCAGACTGAGGTTGACTTCTAAAGCATTTCCTTGCTCACTCACATTTTCCATTAAATTGCCTATTTTGAGTAAATATTATGTTCCATCTCCCATCCCTATGGAAGCTAGAGAGGAATTGTTGAGGCACAATGGGTAAGACTACTACCTGCAATACCAGTATCCTACAAGGGCAAAGGTTCGAATCCTGCTACTCCACTTCTGCTCCAGTTCCCTGCTAACGGCCTGGGAAAGCAATGGAAGATGGCCCAATTACATGGGATGCCAGGAAGAAACTCCTGGCAAATGGAAAACATGACAAATTTGCTGAGCACCTAGCACACTACAGCCACACATGCTAGAACAAATGCAGCTGAAGTAATAACCCAAGAAATGAAGAAGATTACACTTAGCAAGAAAAGGAGGGAAAGGAAAAATATGTATATTTTATGTTTTAGATATTTCAACAGAGATACTTTGTGCTAAAGTAGATATTTTAAACTTCAAAATATCTGACAGAATACTGCAAGAGATAAGTTGTAAAAATTTTTAAAAATCAGTATTTTTAAACTAATATCACAGAGACGCAATGAGGCTAAGTTGGCACTACCATGCTACTGTAGCAGTAACACTAATTATTTTCTACGTAAACCCGACACTTTTAGAAATATAGGTTAAGGCAACAGTTTCCGTGAGGGGCTATCCTCTGCCTGTGATGCCAATATCCCATATGGGCGCTGGTTTGAGTCCTGCCTGCTCCACTTCTGATCCAGCTCCCTGCTAATAGCCTGGGAAAGCAGTGGAGGCTGACCCTGCACCTACGCAAGACTCAAGAGAAACTCCTGGCTTTCGGCTTCAGATCAGCCCAGCTCTGGCTGTTGCAGCCACTTGGAGAGTGACACACTGAATGGAAGATCTGTTTCTCCTTCTCTTTTTCTAGAATTCTTTCAAGCAAAAATCATTTTTAGAAAAATTACACAGAAACATACCAGGATGTTCATCACATTTTTAAAAATGGTCAGTGAAGAAAACCAACTTTAGGAGTCCGCATTGTGGCACAGCGAGTTCAGCTCCCACTGGTGACACTGGAATCTCGTATGGTGGGGCTGCTTTAACTCCCAGGCGCTCTGCTTTTGATTCAGCTTCCTGCTTATTGCCTTGGAAAGCAGAGAAAGATGGCCCAAGGACCCGGCTTCCTGCCACCCATGTGTGAGACCCAGGTGTGTAG